GGCGGACTCTGGGTGACGGGTCCTGGCTGGCTGCTGGAACCGAGCGGCGTGGCGGGGTGTCGCCGAGAGGAAGCCCGCCACGCGCAGGAGAAGGCCGGTCCTCGCCCGCTGCGGACGTTCATGCGTCAGGGAGCCGCGGGGCCTCGTGGTCGGTGGCGGGCCCGCTTGGGTGGGTTCCGGGCAGGGGCCGAAGAGGCTGGTGGCGTGTGATCGCGCTTCTCCAGGCCGGGGGAAGAGTGTGAGGAACGGTCTGCGCGCGCGGGTGTGTGTGTTTGTGTGCACACGCCGCGCGCGCCGGGCGCGTACCTTTACCTCTGACGAAACTGCAGTGTAGCTCCCGCGGCGGTCACCGGGCGCAGTCACTCTCCCCGCTCCCATGTCTGCTCCGAAGGCCGATCCCAGCCTTGGCACCACCACGGCGCCCCCAGCCCCCCAGCCGACAGCCTGGGGCCAGGGGGACTGGATGCGGGGTGGATCGAGTTGCCGCTAGGAAAGTTCTGCCCTCGGGCCTCTTACTTGTCTGGGGCTGACTCCAAACCTCTCCCTAAGACGCGAATGAAGGAGCCCTGAAATTGCCAGAGACTTGTTCAGAGACCCATAGCAAGAACTTGTCCGTTTTGGGTTTAACTCCATCCTCTGTGTTCTTTGGCTCACCAATAATTTTTTGCCCTTTTAGCCGTCCGGAGTGCCTACCCAGCAGGGATATTTCACCTAAGGAAACTTGAAAATTGGGTAATCAGGTATCAGTAGAAGCAGTGCAGTGAAAGTTAATCCGGGACGTTTTGCTTTTTTTATTTAACCACGTGATAGGCTGAGGCTCTTCTGGTGATCTTTGCCGGCCCAACTTGGGAAATGTAATTGATAGGGGGAGCTTTGCAGCCGCCCCTAGAAGGCTCATAGAGCCAGCCGGAAGAGGACCTGGGCGGGTCATCGCGTGCCTCCTCATTTTACAGTTGGGGATAGAGGCTGTGAGGGCTGAGCGGCTGGTACAGGACCACGCAGCCAGTGGGTGACAGAGCCATCCAGGGCTCCTGACTCCAGGTCCTGTGTGTTACCTCGAAATAGCACTGGACTTGGAGTCAGAAGGCCTGAGTGGAGTCGCCTTCCTCACTCTCTGGCTGGGTGAGCCCGGAGCAAGCCATTTTAACTCTCTGAGCCTCCTTTCCTCCATCTGTCAAATGGGGTTGGTGGCGCCGCGAGAGAAGGCCCTCGGTTGCTTGCGGTGAGCACTGTTTGCATGTGAGATGTCTGTTGTTCCAGCAACTTCCTCTCCTCCCCCCAGACCCTCCCTGGCCATCCCCTCCTCCCCTCCCCCTTTGGAAGAGGTGGGGAGAGTGAGTAAAAGTAATTTATCGGCTCTATCCCGGAAGACTTGTCTTTGGCGGCTAACCCAGGGTTAGATAGAGGGAGGGCTCCTGTTTAGGAGACTTAACTTTTACCCATTCAGGGCAAAGTTCAGAAATTCGGCAGACCAAGGATTGTGAAAGTTTTTTGGAAAGGTTTGGGGCATGTTCCCAAAGGACTTTGGGTTGGCTTCCCGTTGTTCAGGCTGTGCCCCTTGCCTGCACTGCCCTCACCCACCATTCCTGCATGGCCCTCAGCTCTAGCAGGCCTCCCCAACCCGGCTTGCCCTGCTTTCTCTAGCCTCTGGTTTTCTTAGTCTGTGTTATACAACCAAGCACTTTGTGTGTGCGTTCTGTCCCAGTAAGATTCTGGAACTAGAGTTGTGCCTTTCATCTCTTTGTGCCCCGTGGCACCTGTCACCATGCTGAGCTCCTCTGCTCAGCTCTTGGCTAGGTACAGGAATTACAGACAAGGGAAGCACTCAGGCTGGCTGGGGAGACAGCCGGGCAGAGTATGGAAGAGAGGAATGCAGAGGGCTGCAGCTGTGGGCAATGACTTAGGCTCCAAAGGCCACACAGTAAGCCCACACTAAATATGGGTTGTTCGAAGTCACTTGGGGCATCAATCATAGGTGCCCAAAATGTCAGGGTTGGCAGGAACTTTATTTTTATTTATTTATTTAAAAAATTCTTTGAATTTTATTTATTTTTTATACAGCAGGTTCTTATTATTTATCTATTTTATGCATATTAGTGTATATATATATATCAATCCCAATCTCCTAATTCATCCCACCACCACCACCCCAGAGTTGGCAGGAACTTTAAATAATTAAGTCCAACCTGTTATCATTTAAAAATATTTAATTATAGAATTGTTGGGAAATAGTGGCATGCATAAAGAAAAAAATTGAAAATATGTAATCTTACCCAAACATAACCACTCTTAATTTTTATATATGTTTTCTGACTTTTTCCTATTGATTCCTATGGATTATATCTTTTGTACAAAAATGGAGTCATTCTTTACATACTAATTGTAACTTGGAATCTCATTGTTGTAGCTTGCTTTTTTTTTTGTCCTCCAAACAATATGCTGTCACTGTCTTTCCACATCAACAAGTATTCTACTTAATATCTTAATGGTTATATAATATTAAGGGTTGAACCATAATGCATTTAATCAGTCCTTTATTGTTAGCCATTTAAGTAGTTTATAATTTTTTTCTTTTTTGCTCCTGTAAGCCATGCTGAAATGAATATCTTTGCATATGCCTTTTCTTCATTTGAATTCCTAGAAATGAAATTACTCTGTCAAAGGAACTATGCAGGCGTTTAGTAAACACATTTCTGGATTGCCTTCTAGAAAGATTGTGCTAATTTCACACCAGCATTGTGTGGGAATGCCTGGTTCCTCATACTCCGGGAACTCTTGGTATTTTAATTGTTTTTCATTTTTACCAGTCTGTTCATCAATAAATTTTGTCACCTTATTGTTTTAATGTGCATTTCTTTGATGACTTGTGATGCTGAACCTTTTCCCCATATGGTTATGGGCCATTTGTGGTTCTGTTCTGTGAAATGTTGTGTTGGTGAACTTGGCCCATTTTTCGATTGGTATTCTATCTCCTCATCGTTCTAAGACTGGATCCAGGCACCAGAAGGGGCTCATGTCACATGGAGAATTGGGGAAAATGGGTTCACTAATGTTGACTTGCTAAGTCTGGAATATTGCTGCCTCCACAGCCCCTGAAGCCAGGATTAACTTCTTTTCCAAGTCAGGGTTCTGGCCATCTATAGGGGCAGGTTGAAGTGAATCCTTTGCTGGGTGCCTTTACCTACTCTAAACCTGTGTGAGACCCAGGGGAGTAACTTTTTCACCTGAGCCCAGAAGGGGACACGTTTGCTGGATTTGTTTACCAGAGGCCCAGGGTTCACTTTCACTGGGGCTTCCTGGCTGGTGCTAATGATCAGGATGCCTGTGAAACCCAGGAAAGGCAATGGCCCAGCAACTGGGCCCTGGGGGCTTATGTTTCCCCTTCCCCCTAGGGTCCTCCTCTCCCCAGCTGGTACAGGCCAGCCAGAAGCTTCATCATTGCCAAAAAAAGGTGAGTCACCCTTTTTTTTCTGTCTCTGGAACAATAGAAGGAATACGGGTTTGAGTCAGAAGGAGCCTTGCAAATGGGAGCTTGGATTTGGGCTTAGAAGTGAGTCCCTAA